CCAAAGTGCCGCCTTCGACGGCTTCTAATTGTTGCTTTGCATCCTTTGCATTTCTGGCATCCACGCCTTTGTTCTGTTTAGCCCATACTGTAGGTTTTTTATCAGGTTTTCTGGCCGTCGCTTGTTTTCCCGTACTCGATCTCACCTTTTCGAAATGGTCGATTTGTTGTGCAAGTACAGCTTTCAAGTCAATGGCAGTTGTTGCGCTCACATTATTGATGATTTTGCCAGGCTGATGTTGGTCCATATTATTAATAGTGATAAAAGGGAAAAGAATCAAAATTTGATTTTTTGTTGCGGCCTGTAGATTTTAAGGTGTTCTCATTGTAAGCTTTCAAGATATCAGTTGGATAGAAATATTACTATGATGCATATCAGAAAAAGTCGTATAAACTGTGATGGAGGGTGAATACGTATTTGCTGTCGCTCTATTGTCCTTACACTCTCACAACGCCGTCTGCCCTCATAAATACAGATTCAGGCGAACTTTAAACATGTTCAACACTCAAAAAGTAAAGTTTTGCTTTATTGAAGAATTATGAACCTATCCGTGATATTATATAAATCAATAGAAATTTATCATGCCGGTGACCCTCCACAATTGAAGCAAAGAAGAAAAGCCCACATTGGATATCGGAGGGAGCTTTACCAGGAACGACAAGCAATTCTGAATAGTTGATGGAACCAGGAAAGAAAATATAATACAGGAAGGTTATCGACGTTCATTTGAACCAAAAAAAACCAAAAAAAAACCAAAAAGATATGAAATGTTTGTTTAATTGGTGGCTCAGAGCGCATGTATCACGGTTTCATAAAGTAGAATGCGCCATACGTAAATTTCAGGTGCGCCAAAAGAGAAGCCATTTTTTTTAGGTGTGTACGTTGCTTTAACACAGTTTCATTACGGTCAACAAGAGGATTGAAGCTCCGGGAAAAACACCTCACGCACTCGCACACACACACAGCACACACACGCACACACACACACACACACTCATTCATACTCGCACTATTTTTTTTTTTTTTTTTCCTTTCCTTATTTTTTCCCTTTTTCTTTTTTTCATTAAAACAGTGAAAAGATGGCCGCTCCTATTCCAGGAGACCAATTTGTTCGAACATTACGACATTATTTAGAAGCAAATCAGCATCGACTTCTCAGTTCATCTCACCCACCTAAACAACCATCTATCCCAGAAGAGGTAAAAGAACCGACGTCATTACTAAAAGCGGTTTCTTCCTTATGGACTAATTCGCGTACACCTGCCGCCACAACAACGCCTGTCAGCAGTAAAGAAAGTAGTTTGGGTTCAAGACCCACCTCTTTATATGGTGTCCAAATACCTTACATGTCTTTATTAGCTGCTACCTCACCTAACGCCACCAGTCTTTCTAATACACCATATATGCCTCTTCGTTCAAGCCTTACTCTCGATGTGCATTATCTCTATTTTTTGCTTGTTCAGTTTGAGTATTTAGGATTGGAAGATACCCACTTACCCGTGCCAGAACACGGACTTGTAGAAACAGAAACAACACAGTCAGCCGGTCAAGCGCCTTCAATGATATCATCTGTAGGATCCGTCATGTCCACCTTGTCCTTGTCTACAGGCTGGCAATTTTGGTCCAACAATAGCAATAAGGAAGCAGAACGACCGTTACATGAAGACATAGTGTATATCCACCGTTATTTATCTAAAGTGTCGGCACTCAAATTACACATGAATATCCTGACCGATGCTCACAAAGGTGTGACAAAGAGTGGACAGCGTACAATTAAAGGTTACGAGACACCGTTACCTCAAGACGGCTCTATTTCGTTACCTCTCACCTCTTTTAAGAATCTCACCTATCTTGAATTAAGCCATATCCATCCTGCCCTGATTTCAAACTGGGCCGATCTCAAATCATCTCTGGTGAGTTTGGTTATTAAAGTAGCCAATGTGGACAATGCTGTAGATGTTATTGGTGATGAAGAACCCTGGACCGCCTTAAAGATGCTTTCATTAGCCGATAATAGTTTAACAACGTTGGACCAGGAACCTGCCAACATGATTCGATCTTTAACTCATCTCAATTTATCCAGTAATCTCTTGATTGATATCCCTTCGGCATTGGCATCTCTTTACAATCTATCTAGTTTGAATTTATCTCACAACATGATTTCATTCACCACTGGCATTAATACCGTCTTGGGTAACATTCAGGAATTGGATTTAAGAGGAAATAGATTGACCGTATTGGCTGGATTGGATAGATTATGGGCTTTAGAAAGGTTGGATGTAAGAGATAACCGTATTGATGATGCCACAGAGATTGGAAGATTGACCGAATTACCGAACATCCAAGATATTTGGGTAGAAGGGAATCCATTTACCAAGTTACAGGTAAAAAGGCTGTATATGCAACATGTAACATTTTGCATCATATTAACTTTTACTCACTGTTTCAGCCTGATTACAGGGTAGACATATTCACGTTATTTAAGGGCAGTGATTTGGATATCGAATTGGATGGTACAAAACCTACTTTTGCAGAGAGACGCCGTATCCATGTCGACGGAGATCATCATGCCACACCTTCTGCCATTGTTGAGGAGCCCGTGTCTAAATGGCCTTCTGCCATCCATCATGACGATACATCAGCACCAGCAGCAGCAGCAGCGGTTTCAACACCTGCTATTCCTAAAGCAACAAAATTAGCACGCGCCAAAACCAAGAATAATAAACGTATCATCCGATTAGGTCAAGTGGAAAATAAAAACGAGGCACCTATTTTATCCGACGATGAAGAATCGAAAGCAAATAAATATGTGCATCGATTAGCCGAATTAGAAGAAGCCGTGCAACAGGAACAGGTGGTTGCACGTCGAGCAGCTTCCGTGAGATCACGTCGTAGCAAGAAATCCTCCAATGAAGAGAGACCTACCCTTGAATCCACCACCAGTGACTCGACACGTAAATCGTCAGACGCATTTAGAAAAAAGATCGAAGCGATGCGAAAAGAAGCAGGTACAGAATGGTTGAGAGTGCTTCAAGAAATGGATGTAGTGAAGAAATCAACACCTACCACTGAGAAATAATTATATCCACACAATCACACACACACACACACACATTCTTTTTCATCATCTACACTATAATAAACAAATGCCCTCTTTAACTTGATGACCCTTCCTCGACTTGTTTCATCTCTACATCCGCATTTTTATTTACAAGAAAGTTTTATTAAACAAGTAGTGAAAAAAAAAAATCTAGTCGGTATAATCTCTAATTTAGAAATTATTTGGCCTCTTCGGGAGTAGCACGAGCTATTGAAAAAAAAAAAAAATGACATGTTAACGCTATTTCTGACAGCTTATTTTTCTCCCAGTTTAGCCATTTAAAACTTACTGTAGATAACTTGAGCATGATGACGAGAGATGGCCTTGATTAAACCTTGAGCTTCGAGCTCGCGGATAGCAACACGGGCCAAAGAACCGTTCAACTTAAGACGATCGACCAAGACTGATTGAGAAATGAGCTTGTAAGTAGGAACTTCCTTGAACAAACGGTCATAGGTGGGCTTATCGAGGATAACAATGTTGTTGGACTTATCCTTAACCTTCTTGGCAGACCACTTCTATAAAAAACGCCCAAAAAAATAAAAATAAAAATGTCAGACTTTTGCATGTGCATGTCATTTGAATGTCAAACACTTGCCTTCTTGGCCTTCTTTCCACCTGAGGATGAGCTAGGCTTACCAGCAACGTCTTTCTTAGCCTATGAAGTATAATCAGTCATCCCATCCATCTATTCATCCATCCATCTATCCATCCATCCATCCTTGATGATTTCTCCCGTTGTCCCGTTCGTTATTTTTACCATTTGGATGTATTGAGGAAGATTACTCAAATCCTTGGCTCAGGCATTTCTATTGTATGTCCTAGTTCGGACTGGATCTCGACTTTTTTTAAAGTTCAGCATTTTTAAGCTCACCTATTGGCCAAATTTACGCTAAAAAATCTTAGCATGAATGAATGGCTGGGATAACATATCTGGGGTTACTCAGACCTTTGGATCCTTCGGTGATTGGATATTGAATTTAAAAGTGACACTCAGCAGCCAATATATTTTTGATCCAAAGGCTGTTATTAAATACATCGACCAATAGTTTCTGAATCCAAAGGCTGCAGTTCAAAGTTCGACAGTTGCTGTTAACTTGGCATGAATGTAAGGACATATTCAGTACACCATCTTTATAATGGGTGGTTAATAAAATTCACTAGAGCCGACCACAGTTACCGAACTTCAATAAGAAATTTGGCCAATGGGGTAATATTTGATATGATTTCTTTATGACAACAATGTTATATAAAAGGGCTCATTATATACTTTTCTTTCTATTAATTAATTTAACTGTTGAAAGTTATTCGACAATTGAATACAGTTCTGTCTCCTCATTTAAACAATGGGCTCTCTGAAATTAGCTGTATCAAGATAAAGACTTGTTGAATTTATTGCATCAATAAAAAAAAATCATGATAAAAAAAAACGGAGTCAAAAAGGAGACATAAACAAAAAAAAAAACACAATAAAAAAAACACAATCAAAATAAAACATAATCAAAAAAACATAATCAAATGTTATAGAACAATAAAATACATGTGCATGATATTTATTTTTAGAAAATGAACCGTTTTTAAAAATACCAAGAACCCGTTGGCTCTTTGGAAAAGTATTTAAGAAGTACGTTACGGAGGTAAGCATCCCTCCTTTCCACTTTTACATACTTTTTTTTTGTTTTGAATTGACTGACTTTTTGCTTATGAGCTTACACGATACCTACAAAAACAAATCGGTGCGTGAAATTATACAAATGATGAAGGAGCGAAAGAAAAGGGCCATTCAAGCAAAGGAGGAAGGCGAAGAAGAAAACAAAGAGGAGGATAACGAAGGAGAATACGAAGGTAAATTACATGTCTCAAAATTTAAAACTTTTTGGTGATGACACTTACCCTTTTTTTTTTTAGAATATGCTGAAGATCCTGGCCCGAGTACACCAGTTAAAAGAAGAAGGCAAAGCAGAAACAGAAAATACCAAGAACTTTTTGAGAAAAAAATGGAGAAGGAAGCGGGAAGACTTCAAAAGAAATCTAAAGCTGTTGCTGGTGATGGCGCAAAGAAGTGTAAACGATGTACAGAGGCAGGCGTTTATAATGAGGAAAGAGCTCATACCACGACTAGATCCCCATTGTGTCCTTTTCATCAGACTACGAAGCAAGAGGCAATAACTGCTGCATTAGAGACAAAAATCACTTCAACATTTACCAGAAAAATTGGGTTGAAGGCATCACTTACTTCCAATATGGATGAGGAAACAAAGACCATCTTTTGTGACAACGTTTTGACGCTCGTCAACTTTATGCGCGAGACTGCAATAAAATCAATGTTATTCGCAAATTTCTATATTTTAAAGCTATTACAAAAGAACAAGGCTGACGAAGACTGGGTGCTGCCAATGATATTTTTTTCTCCTGTATTTTTCAAATCCTGTCAGCAACTGGTTTGTGGGCGTAATATGAGCAGCAATAACACAATGTTTGATAAAGCCGATATAATTGAAAGTTTCAGACAGTACAAATTACTGTATCCGGGAGGCTCACAAGTTTCTACCGATACTGGCGGAATATTTTACGGTAGTGCCCAATCTAGTTTAGCAACACAGAGCGCCACAATTTTCTCAAATCATGTAGTAGAAAGTTTTGAAAAAAGAATGAAGTCATATTTTATATTTTGTCTGGCCAACGTAAGTGACCCACTGTGTTAATTACTTAATCATATACTTACATTATTATTGTATTTAGTTTAAGTTCACAAAACCGGAAAAAGTTGCTCTAGCGGAATACTTGTTTAATAAATGTACAATGCTCAAAACACCTGTTTGGCCAACAAATATGGTGTCCTCTCCTGCACTCACGGAATACTTACTAGCATTAATAATGATGTTCAAGGTTAGCAGCGTCCATACACCTTTGACGGTCTCTAAAATTTCTGAAAATCCCGGTATTGTCATTACAAGCTTGTTTAAAATCTTAAGAGCTACGGAAATGTCCAATGTGGCTCAAACTGTTGCTGCGGAGGAGCCTCAAGATTCTGTATCTTTACCTTGGGTTTACAATATGTTGAGCATAACCTGTGAAAATGAAGTTGAAGATATCAACAAAAGAAGACGGTCAGCTTTGGCAAGGAAGATTCGAAACGCTATTAATTCAACAACACCTGTTGCTTTAAGTAAACCATCATTCCTGTCTGAAGTGAACTTTAACAAAGTACAAGAAAACGTTGTAGCAACACGTCTGCAGTTAGCACAGTCAAGAATATACCTCTCCGATCCTGAAACCAGAGACCCAGATGTTATTATACCCGAAAGAAAAGATTGTTTTATACCAGAAAATTTCTCTATTCACCATTCCCGTAAAACGTTTTCCATGATGCCTCACTACGGACTGAAACGCCAATACGTAACAATTGATATTGCTACTTTAAAAATTCTTGTTAATAGATCTGACAATATCAAACGTATTGCAATTTATGATCAATCGCTGGATGCATATGCCCGAGATTCGACTTACTTCATGAGTCTATTTGATTTGAAAAAACTAGGACAATCTGGAAGGTAACGATTCTGTCTTATAATTTTGGTTCATATAAAAAAAATAACATTTTATATTATTGCAGTGTCACTGAAATGCTTAATAGAAGAAAAGTCATGATGCGTAATATTCTTTGTACGGACGGGCGTTCGGCTGACTTTTTGTTTACCAGACCTGCAGTTCCCAAGGACAATGAAGATATAAAGCTTGAAATGAACGATTTTGAAACATGGGAGATGCAAGACGTAGTCAGATTGTGGGGTGCTGATCCGGGTGTCACTGACATCTTTGTTGCGAGCGATGGAAATGGAAATGATGCGCATGAAATAAGGTCCATATCGACAGCGGAGTACTACGTTAAAGCTGGCTATAAAAAAAATCAGGTAACAATGAATTCGCTCAAGCAAGAAGAAGGGATTACTACAATTGAAACGAATATTCCAACCCATCGAACTTCAAAGCTATCAATCTTTAAACAACATTTACAATATTACTTCACCCATCTAGACACGCTATTACAATTCTATGATGGTCGATTTACGGATCTTCGTTTCTCTAATTACCGTGGTCAGCAAAGAATGGATAATGAACTTGTAAACATATTTTGTTCAGGCGGTAAAAAATATAATCCGGACAATAAAACCCATCCGCGCAGAAATAAGGCAGATTACAAGCAAAGGCGCCAAAAGAAAAAGAAAAAGAAGAATAAGAAAAAATTGACTTTGCAGGTGGGAAAAAGCTCACTATCGGCGCCAACAACAGCTTACACTACTGTATCTGTAACAACGAGCGGCCCTTCAACCGAGACTCAAAATCAGAAATGGAAGAAAGCTCCCTTCAAGAACGAGAAGAAAGTGCCTTTGATCGCCTTAGGAAATGCAGTATTTAACGTGACAATGAAAGGAAAGCAATCTGGTATGCTTCGTAGGTTAAGGAAAAAGATGGAAGAAGCAAGTGCAGATGAAAGGCTAATTCTGGTGTATACCGACGAGTACCTTACTTCACAGGTAAAATAATGAACGATTCGGATTGTTGTACTAGATATTAATACTTTAATTTAGATGTGTTCCAATCCTTCCTGCTTGCTGAAAACACTGGAAAATGTTCGAATCCCTGATGTCGGAAAGATCCACAATTTGTTGACTTGCAAAAGTTGTAACAAATTATGGAATAGAGATACCAATGCGGCTCGAAATATTTACTCTATTGCAAGTTTTATGCAAAAAAACAACAACTTACGTCCAAGTAGATTCCAAAGACCTGCAACAGACCCCCAATCATCCATATCGTAAACATATGTTGATAGTTCGGTAAGTCAATATATTTAATTCAAAAAAAAAAAAAAAAAAAAATTGTAATATTTACGATTTATTCTCCCCCCAGACATGTCCCCCGTGTCGAATGAATTTCTTGACGAAGAAAATATATCCCATGCTTGTAATTTTGCACTGGAATAACTAAAATTCTCAAAGATATCCTCTTCCAAATACCTATATGATTCAATATTGGTTTATGCTACTACTAAACTGATAGACAATTGCCAAATTCAGAATGAAAATTGCTTGTATGTAGGTTAGAGATTACGTATTTGCAGATATTTCTAATAAAAGTAAAGGCCCAAACATTTTGGATAATTATATAAGCAATTAAATCTTGTTTATCAGTTTACAAATAAACACTTTTTTGATTAGATCATCATGACATAACCAGTTCTTGTTATTAGCCTATAAATAAGACTCGTTCACACACCTCTTTTTTTTTAACTTTAACAGACTTATTTCTCTTTTTTAAAAATACCTTGCAACTTTTGCGATATTTCGGCTGAGAGCAGTCTTTGCTGTATGATGGCGACCTCCTAGGTTGGGTTCTCAGGTTTTGGCCAGGATTGCTGTATGATGGCGACCTCCCAAGTCGGGTTCTCAGGGTTTGGCCGGGATTGCTGTAAGTCATATAATTTTATGTCCAAAAAAACTATACGTGAGTCTAAAAAAGACGTAGAAAACCTTGAAGAAGATGTAAACCACTTCGGACAAGTGCACAAAAATCCCGCGAAAAAGCATCAAGATTCCCAAGTGGGATTTTTGTGCTTTTTCTAACCCCAAAGCTCCAACTACTATGGAAGCATTCGGATAAGTTTTCTGGAAACTTTACGAATGGAGGTAGTTCGACATGTGAAACGTACAGCAAAAACGAACCTGTATTGCTTGCCTGTTGTTTTATTTTATAAAAACAACAGGCGCCCGAATAAATTCGTGGACTCTGAGCACCAGCCTTGCCCAAAGGTTTGTGATTCCCTTATCTTATTTCAATCATAGTGCTCATACTTTCTTACATATAGGCTGCTGTTGTAATTACGGAGGGCATAAAAAAGTATCAGCTAGTTACTCCAAACTTTCAATCAGATGATCGACATATGCCCAAGCTTCGCAAATGTCATGTGGAAGTTCTAAATGACTTGGTAAACTTTGGGACTTCTTTTGCACTTAGTAATTCCCTTATTTCTGATATATACCATGCCCATGAACAAGATCAAGCCAACTATACCTCACTTCGTAAACACAATATATTCGATCATACCATCGCTCTCCTAAGACATAATGATGTCGAATCATTTGTTCAGAATATATGGGCATCGAAGATTGAAGGTTTAACGGATAAAGCAGTAGCTCTGTTAAATATCATACGATATACATGGATCTCGTTCCACCCTACACTCAGAATGGTCCTCTCTTGGTACAAAACCATGAGAGGACTTATTTTTATTGAGAGTGTAATAAAATCTTTCCTTGCTGTCTCAAAGATCGTGGACTTTGTCGAATGTAAGTGGTAAAACAAAAGAATAAAAAAGAAAAACTTCTGGATACTAAAAAAATTCCCAGGTGTGAGACGCAATTCACCTCCGGAAAGTACCTTGACTATCGCAAATCTGACTATACCACTAATTCAGTCAAGTACAATGACGCTCTCGATTACTTCAAATTGTTTAATAACATGGAAGTCATTATTGTCGAAGCATCAAGGTAGTTTATAATCACAGATACGACTTATTGCGGCTCTAATTTGTTTCTTTTTTTGAATAGTGGGAAAATCCAAGAGAGCACAGTACACACCATTGAAGATTGTCTCAAGCTGTTGGGTGTGGCATTTCATCCTTGAGAAAAGAAGCAATTTTAAACAAAAATTCTTCCATAGCGACTTTCAAGAAGCTTAAGGTTTTTGGTCTAAAATCCATCTTAAACCAAGTAGCTTTGTCTAAGCTGTACTTTAACAATGTCACAAGATGGAATTCTGTTGAAAAACGAATCGCCCACACTTCCATCTTCCTGGGATAATATAATCATTCTTGTTAAATATTTAGAATTGATAGCCACCATTTTCGTACGTTTAAACCCCACCCAACCCTAAATAATTTCAATTTCTAATTTTTATCTACATGTAGGATGACATTTGCGATACTCATCATTTGCTACAAAAACTGATGGAAGAAAACTTAGGGCTGAATTCAGCCGATAGTCGCTCATTAAAATCTATGTTTGAGGAGCAAATAAATGTCAGGATGTCAAGTTTATGATGTAAGATAATGTTCAGCAATGAAGCTCTTTTACCATTATTCAAACTAACTGTACATGTTAAAATGTACTCTTTAGATAATTGACTTTTTTAGCGGACTAAACGAACTCTGCTGTTATGAAATAATTCATCCTTTTTTATTGCACAACTCTCCTGGTTTTTAATGATGAGTCAACCTTTCTGGTTTTGATCTTACATTATGACTACGAGCACTTTGGCTGTCCCTTAGAGAAAAAGTACAATTTTTCCAAAATCCTTGCGCCATTTCATTAGAAAGGCCCCCTTTCTTGCACTAAGGAGAAACACGGTTTGATGGTAGAGTTTGATGTCAGTAATACTTTTTCTTCAGAATCCTCATTATTCAATCTAATAGGCCTTCATAAAATTATTACTTTAAATAAAGGAGGTTCACATATGCATATTGTATATTTTATGAAAAATGTAAAGCTTTTACTCCAAAATTGCCCAATTCGATATTGTTGTAATATCATGAATAAGACAATAATTTCAATCAAATGTAAGATAATCCTTTATTTACTACATAAATGACTTTGGTGTTTATTTAATTTGGTATCTTTAATTATAAATGATATGTTATATACTTGAGACATCAAAAAGATGAGTAAATAAATAGACATCATCGAATATATGAATGATTCATGTTATGTATTAGAGATATTAGCACAATGCGTACATAGACATATCGAAACACCAAGTAACTTCTACACTGACAGTCCGACTCCTCACTTTTCCCAACACGTAGCGTCTGCACTCACGTCGATACTCGCGCTGTATTCACTTCGACACTGGTTGAAACCCTGACCTTAAAGTAGGGCGCTATATTGCGATGCACTTCCTTCAACACTGAGTGTGGCACTGACATGGACATTCGCTTCGACACAAGTTTAGGCACTGGCATGTTTGCACTCGCTTTTCAAAACTGCTTTCGCACTGGCGTCTACACTTGAGGGGCTTCTGCACTGGCGTCGATACTTGTGCTGTACTGGCTCCGACACGTGTTTTGGCACTGACATGGACACAAGCTTCGACACAGATTTGGTAGGCACTGGCACGGTTGCACTCGCTTTTCAAAACTGCTTTCGCACTGGCGTCTACCTATTGAGGGGCTTCTGCACTGGCGTCGATGCTTTGTATGTACTCGCTCTAACACGATGAGGCCCCTGGAGGGCGCAGTCGCTTTCAACACTTGTTTGGGTACTTACAGACACTCGCTTCGACACAGATTTAGAGCACTAGCATGGCAACTCGGTTCCGCATTGGCTTGCAATTTCGCTTTCAACACTGCTTTCGGCACTGGCGTCTACCACTTGAGGGCTTCTGCACTGGCGTCGATATCGTGCTGTATTCCCTTCGACACTGGTTGAGACACTGGCGGGTGCACTCACCTCAAAACGCGTTTGGGTACTAACAGACACTCGCTTCGACACAGGTTTAGGCTTTGGCATGACTCTGGCTCGCACTGGCTCGCACTGGCTTTCAATACTGCTTTCGGTACTGGCATTCGCAAACGGATGGGTAATTAATGAAGCAAAAAAGAGATGGATAAAAAAAAAAAAAGACTACGCCCTCAATTTTTTAAAAAAATCCGTGGCTGCTGTACTGCGCAGCTGGTCGGAGGCCAAAATATTGTAGGGCGTTGCTTAGGTATTGCCGGACCAGTTGTTCATTTCCCTCTCCAAAGGGGGAACACATAGGGATAGATATGATAGATATGGTGGGAATTATGGAAGATATTAAAACTGGTATGACTGGATTATGTAAGGTGTCCCAGTAAGAAGTATATCTCATTTCATGATCTGCCTTACATAAAAATTACTTTTTGAAATAAGCTTGTTGCTAGG